ACTTCCATTTACATTCAAACTTGGGCTATTTCTTATTAACATATTGGTAATGGTTGAGTCATACTTGAAAACAACATTAATATTTAGTAGCTTGAGGGACCGAACTAACGGGACAAATTCATTACGATAGGGCAGAGTCAAAATATTCTTAAGTGTAGGAATTTGCCTGGTTTGAGAGGAATGAAAGGATTTTTTAGCCCTTTTAAAACAAAGATCAACAAACACAGAAGGGTACCCGAGTTTTTGTGCAATGGAACGAATGTGTTTCAATTCATCGTCAATAAATTCAGTCACAAATACGCAGACATCTTAAGAACATAGCAGAAAAAACTGACATTTTGGTAGACTCCAGGTGATTTGATAAAAAGTGTATGAAACTGTCTACCTGTGTGGGCTTTCTGTATACAGTTGTACCCCACTTAACGCGGTCAATTGAACCCAGAGGGTCCCGCGTTATGTGAAATCCGCGTTAAGTGAACAACAGAACATATGGGATTAATTCCAATAGAAACCGGCCCGACCCCCAAACTCCACTTTTTGAAGGCACATACCTATGTTGTAGTAAAAATAACATCTTAATTTTATGATGGTACATGCACACAATTAATACTTAAGAGAAATAGAGAAATACAGTCGCCAAGTTAATGTCCATTCAAATAATGGACTCAACTCCCTCCCCCTCTCACACTACACTGCCGGCTCTTCCCTCTCAGAGAAATTTTTGGGGGAAAACCACTAAATTTTAATAAATAATACCTCAAACTAAAGTTAGGATAATACAATTGACATTGCTGGATTCCTTGTAAGACCAGGAATATTTTGAATATAAATGTCATATATTTTGCACAAAAGATAACATAGTTACCTAGAGAAAAATTTTTATCTAAAATTTGTATGTTTAATGCAAAATATATGATGTTTATATTCAAAATGATCACCAAATTATAAGAATTCCAGCAATGTAAATTATATTCTGACCGGGTAATTTGTATGAATTTTATGAGCTAAAACAAATGTCTTCAGTTAATAAAAAAAAAAATAATCTTCACAACACTATCTGTCAATCAAAGTACCCCACCTTGCCTCCCCCCCTCTTCCAACCGCGCGGTCAGTCCCAACCCTCCCCCCCCCACCCCCCACCAATCCTCCCTTCCAGGGTTTTTAACGTTTAGTATTAAATAATACCTCAGATTAAAGTTAGGATAATATAATTGACATTGCTGGATTCCTTGTAAGACCAGGAATATTTTGAATATAAATGTCATATATTTTGCACAAAAGATAACATAGTTAATTTGAGAAAAATTTTTATCTAAAATTTGTATGTCTAATGCAAAATATATGATGTTTATATTCAAAATGATCATCAAATTATAAGAATTCCAGCAATGTAAATTATATTCAGACCGGGTAATTTGTATGAATTTTATGAGCTAAAACAAATATCTTCAGTTAATAAAAAAAAATAATAATTCTTCACGGGGTAACAGATGGTCGGTCGGTCCCTCCCTCCCCCCCACCCCCCACCAACCGTCCCAAGGAGATGTGTGGGATAACCACTAAATTTTAATAAATAATACCTCAAACTAAAGTTAGGATAATATAATTGACATTGCTGGATTCCTTGTAAGACCAGGAATATTTTGAATATAAATGTCATATATTTTGCACAAAAGATAACATAGTTACTCTGAGAAAAATTTTTATCTAAAATTTGTATGTCTAATGCAAAATATATGATGTTTATATTCAAAATGATCACCAAATTATAAGAATTCCAGCAATGTAAATTATATTCTGGCTGGGTAATTTGTATGAATTTTATGAGCTAAAACAGGCAGTCAGGCAGGGTGGCGGGTGGGGCAAATCTAAAAATAGCGTCTCGAGCCGGACACTCACCGCGTATATGTGGAAAAAATCCGTGTTAAGTGAAAGTTCAGCTCTGGCGAGGCACCGCGTATATGATAAAACGCGTTAAGTGAAACCGCGTTAGGCGGGGTAATACTGTACCTTAAATTTGTAGTTTTGGCCATTTCTCATGATAAGCATATCAAGGAATGGAAGGGATCCATTTATTTCTCTTTCAATTTTGAATGTGATACTTGGGACAATATCATTAAGCTTGTCTAAAAATTCCACAATACTGTATATAATTTTTTTTTATAAAATCACACAGGGAAAAGGGAAACAATGGAGCACCTTAGTTTTTGTCTTTATTCAAGACATCTTCAGAGTCAACTGAATAACATGGACAGAGATTTTATCAAGATTTATCTTATCCACGTTTTCATTGTGGAACTACATGATATATATATATACAGTGGCCCCTCGGTTAACGAACTCAATCCGTTCCAGAAGGTCGTTCGTTAACCGAAACCATTGTTTCAATGGGTTTTTGGGTAATTGGTTCCAGCTCACCGAAAATTTCCTAAATTCAACAAAAATGGTAGAAAAGTTCACTTACTTTGAGGTGTGTATGTAGAAGGCTCCTGGATGATGATGATGATGATGATGGGATTTAGAATGGGGGTGGAGGAGAAGGAAGAAGAGAAGGCATTGGGGTGGAAGAGAAGTCACCCCATGGTGCCATTTCACCCATAAAATTTTAGCTCTGGTTTAATTCAAGATTATTTTCTTTAAATCAACGCTGCACTGCATTATATATTGTCAATATATAAAATATATTTCAAAATGACCAATAATTTGCTTGGAAACACAGAAAAAAAGCGTTTAGTTGAAGAGAGTCTCAAGCAAGATGTTACCTCCAGTGAAAACAGAGAGAGGCTGACGCCTGTTTGCTGTGTTAAGAGGCTGGATGCCGCGCATTAAACTAGTCACTTTACCTTCAATTTTGTTCAATAATTGTTAAAATGACTAAAAAATTGAATATTAAACTTTTAATATTATTGAATAGTATAAACTTCTTGATATTTACAAAAATAGTAAGGAATTTAAGCCCTAGAACCGATTAATGTATTGGCGGACTGATACTAAAGCTGGTTGCCCGGTCAGTGCAAGCGAAAACATGTTGAGGTAGGTTCGTAAGAAGTTCGTTAAGCGAATTTTTTTTCGTTAACCGAATTGAAGATCCTTATGGAAGGCAGTTCGTTAATCGAAATTACGTTAACCGAGGTGTTCATTAAACGAGGGGTCACTGTGTATATATATATATATATATATATATATATATATATATATATATATATATATATATATATATATATATATATATATATATATATATATATATATATATATATATATATATATATATATATATATATATATATATATATATATATATATATATATATATATATATATATATATATATATATATACTGTATATATATATATATATATATATATAATTTTTGGGGGGGGGGGGTAATGTATGAGAACACCACTACAAACGGAGGGAGTTGTTCAATTACGTTAATTTTTTCTAAATGTTCTTATCATTATAGTAAGTATTTTAAAAAGAGACAATAATAACTAGAAACTAATAGAACTTGACCTAACCTACCAAAGAATCCAACTTACCTTACCTAACTTCTTAGCCTGGGAGCCCCGCCCCCCTGGACCTCTGCCATATTAAACTGAAAGTACTTTTTATGATATCTGGTACCAATGAAAGCAACTTTGTTGAAGCGTCCTGGTGTAATTTTACATATTTTGTGGATGTGAGAGTATACTTGGACCGAGTGGATCAGTTGTAAATAAACTGAACACGCAGATTTTTTGGAGGAGTATTTACGGTAAGTAATTTTTTTTTCACACACAAAACTCAGCAAAAATTTTAGTGTCATATGATCAGTTTTTCACTGTGTTTCATCCCTCAATTTCCCTCATTCTTCATGCCCTGCTCACTACAGGTCATTTATGATTGTAGATAAATAATAAAAAAAAAAAATACACCCTTACTATAATGATAAGAACGTCTGTGGAAAACATGAATGAAATCGAACAACTCTTTTCTGGTGGCAGTGCTGTTCTCAGAAATTACCCTTCTTTGGTGCGAGTGTTAAGTTCAGACAAAAAAAAAACATGATTCTCATCTATGACACTATTGGTGCAGTTTACTTTTTTAAGCTAGTTATTTTCCTTTTAATGAATTTATGTGGATTTACTATCTCTACTAAAATTAGTACCAATTCAATCTCCACCCCTGAGGTATGCATTATCCGTGTTATACTTTATCTCTTATATGAACATTAAGGCACATTAAACATTTAGGGCATCTGCAGTCTGTTTATCATTCTCCAGGGCCACATTGTTTTTGTCCTTTAGAGAGCCAACAGTATTTTTGTTTTAATGTTGCTCAAGGTATATGCATAAAATATTTTAGCTTTCTCTTAACTCCTGCACTGCATATTAGATGCCACTTTTAATAATTTATTTGGCTAAAGTAAGATGATTTTATTCAGCAGAGACCTTCCTACAAGATGCTAATATTTTGGGTTAATTTCATCTATAAATGCCATGTACAGTAGTTGATCTAATATCCTGATAGACACATTTAAGTTTCTTTTGTATATTACATAGTCTGCATGATGTTTTGTGCTCTGGTATATCATCCACAGCTGGTATTTTCTTTTGATGGCTTTCCTAGTTTTCTAATCACTCATCCTGTTATTATTCCCTCTCTCCCTTGAGTTTGGGGTATATATTCCTCTACTGTTGTCCCAAGGATTTCTATAAATTCTTGTCACAAAGCTAGATTGGGGGCAGATCTGGAAAAGTAAGAGCCATTAAAGAAACTCACATAAAAAGACACAGCAAATGGAGATAGTGAAGGTTTACATTTATTGGTGATGACATAAGTACATTTGAGATACTGTATTGTACAGTACCTGTATTGTACTGTGCTTAACCTAACTGAGATTACTCTGTATCTCTTAAGATATGGCAGGTTAGTTAGATTTCCAACATTTTAAGAGACAGGTATTGTTAAAAGGTTCTGTATGGTACATTACATTTATAATTTGTTTGCATTTCAGCCATGGATATTACATCGGCATTCTCAACATATGGTTCATGTGTGGAACGAGAAACGGAAGTACGGGAAAATGTACAGTCAGCTGTGAGGGACCTAGAGAAAACTTCCTACACAATTAATACTATTCTTGAAAAGATGCACAACACACAAGGAATTCAGGTAGAGAAACATTGTTTTTTATTACTAATTTTACTAAATTGATGTAGAATGACAATGAATGAGTGTGAGTGTCCTTTGGACTTGATTCCAGCATACTTGTGCACTAGTGGGGAAGAGCTTGTCAGAGAGAAAAATTCAGATTCCATCCTGGATAATTCTTCTAATGACATAATATAAATATTTGTTATCAACCCTTATACATGACAAGTTTTTATAATTATTGAGCCTAATTGAAATACATACACAGAAATTTGAAATTCTAACCCAGTCTGACAGAGATTCAACTCATTTAGCCTTTTAGTTATCATTCCCTTTCCTATTAATCTTAGTCACAACACATCACACTTTATTCTACCTCCTTATTTCTTTATATGTACCTATGTTTCCTGAATCGGCTGGATTGTCCAATTAGCCAGGCCGTTCACATATGTTTATTATTTGGGTTTAAGTAACGAAACTCAACTGTAGTTCCTTGTTTTATTATAAAAGGATTGTATCTATAATTCCTGAGTGTAGATCGACCGTAAGTTCCACTATATATGAGTGAATGAGAAAGGGACGGCGTTTATGTAATATAAACGTTGGTCACGTCCAAACGATATAAGTTGCTGTGAGGGACTGACAGTTAAAGGCCTTGCAGTGCGGGCTTACATACAATGCTGACTATGGGTTTCTTCCCTCTTGGGAGAGTTGCCCTCTCATTTGTACAACTCATGTCTTACTCATAGACAGTGGAAAGTTACAGGGTGGTGAATCTGAATATAATATCAGATGTATTGACCCATTTATATAATATGTTCTGTTGATGAGACAGGGGCCCATTACATCCATAAGATGAACTTCGTCATCATTCACTTCCTTGATTCCTGATTGCTGGTTAAACCTACTGGGTATCTTGAATATGGATCACCTTGTCAGTTATATTATTCCTTAGAAGACTTAGTCAAGTGTATCTCCTCATAAGGGAGTTAGAAAACATTATTTGCAGCTACAGTACAGGTGTCCTTTGATATATGAAGGGGTTCCATTCCTGGAAATCCATTCATTTGCTAATTGAAAAAAAATTAGCATAAAGCCAGATCCTTGTTAGATGACATAAGGCAGAAGAGGGTGAAGGATCGAAGGATGAGACCTTTATGGCCGGCTGAGGCTGGTTTAAATGATTTAAGTGTCGTTATAACTTCCACAACATCAAGATGACTGGTGAAGCTGCTAGCTCAAATACGGTTGCTGCCGAGACATTCCCGCCTGAATTCAAGCAGATTAAATTATCTAGGAAGGAGGCTACTCATCGAAGCAAATCTTCAATGTGGATGAGATTGGTCTCTTTTGGAAGAGGATGCCTGAGAGGACCTATACCCCCAAGGAGGAGAAAAGAGTGCCAGGTTTTAAAGCGGCAAAAGACCGCTTGACGCTGCTGCTTGGTGCAAATGCTGCCGGTGACATACGACGGCCATGGTCATATAAAATATTTTTCACATTACATATTTTCGAGTCCCGACGTTAGTGATTGCGCTGTGTACTGACAAAATTTGTTTGTAATTCCTTTTAAAATGGCTAGCAAGCATAAAAGTGAGAGTTCTCGTTGTGCTGAGAAGAAAAAGAGACACCCGTTTTAGAATTTATATGTATTATTTTCTCCTTTTCGACTTAAGACCTGGTCGTCGGGACGGAACCCCGTCGTAAGTCGAGGAGAGACTGAATATGTAATGTATTTCATGAGGCAAAGGGAGGCTGGGGAATGTAACTCCCGTATTTTATCTATTTCCTGTGGGGAAAATTAATCCGCTTAACGTTGTTTCATATAACATCGCGTTTTCAGGAACGAAACCCCGACGTTAAGCGAGAACTTACTGTACCTATACACTATTATTTCTTTTCTTATCTTGTATCTTTATATTACTGTACAGTAGACAAGCACACAAGGACATTGAAATGACTTTTCCGCAAATTCTGTTCTTACGTAACACATAATAATGGCATCAGCACAAATTTGCGTGAGAGGTGACTGACGTCTTTTGGAATGGTAGAAACATTTGTAGACCACTTTTATTAATATTTATGGATATTTTTACATTGTTTTGTGGTTTTAACACTTCTGTACAGATATTTATGCATCATATTTGGACACACACAGACCTTCAGCATACTATAAAATAATGGATGATGCAGACAATGGACTCTTATATGTGAAAGAATTGATGTAAAGTATACTGAAAATGTCTCCCTATACAGTATTTGTTAGTGATGTATACTATGTGAAATGACGTACAGTATTTTGATACAACGTGTAGCGAGGAACCCCTGTATCGTGTATCAGATGAAAATCTACTCTCACTTCAAATGAAGTTTTCATGCCAAATTTATTGGAATTCCAGAATCTTCAGACAATATGTGAAGAGTGTCATACAGAACTGACAAAGGTTCCAGCCCTTTATGAAGCACTGCAGGAAAAAGTCCCTCCTGGGGAGTTCTACCGATATCACCACAATTTCCGAGGGACCACGCAGCGACTGGTAGCAGCCACATGCCTCATTACATACTTAGAGGAGAATCGGTAAGACAGATCTCTGGTAAGAACAGGACAAATGTTTACCTAACTTTATGTAAGTTGCATTTTTATTATTTTCCACCTTTATTAGTAGTCAGTAGATTTATAAATTTGATGGTACTGTACTGGGTACAGTAATAGCTCCGTTAGCTGTAATCCCTCAAACCCGGAAATCTCTGATACCCGGAATTGAAATTTGCTCGGAAAATCATTCCCAAAGCCAGAATTTTCCAAAAATTTACGGCTTAAGGAAAAAAATTTCCGGGGTTGGAAATCGAGAGAATTTTCTGAAAATGTTTTGAATAAAGACAAAAGTTAAAGTATTTTTTGGGGTGGGGGGTTGACCTGACTCGATGTCAGGTGGAAGTGGGGTGGGAGATTAGTGGTCTCATATTACTGGTCTTCTGATGGAATGTCAGAGGCCACCCTTTCTTGGGTGGAGGATTAGTGGGTCTCATGACCTGAAGATGTCTTGAATAAACACGAAAGTTAAAGTATTTTTAGGGAGATTGTCATAAGTAGAAATGAGCTAAGTTGTATCCCTTCAACATTACATTACACAACAGTTTTAAATATGGAGTGAGAAAGCAGAAAGGTATGTGTGATTGAAGAGATGGAGTGGAAAGAAGTGTAACATGCACCAGTGTTGCCAAGCGATAAACTCCTCAATAGCCGATCTTTTAATTTGCCTCCATGCAGTCACCCAAAAAGACCCTAACTGGATGCTTGTTGTCTTAATTTCTGTGTGTGTGTGTGTGTGTACCAAACATTCAAAGAAGTATTGTTGAGCTTGCCAAGCACATTGTAGAATTTGAAGAAGTTGATGAAGAGTTTGTTCAGGAGTCAAGTGGTGAGGTGACATGCCAAGACACTTACACAGCACACACATTAACAGCACTACTAAACCATTGTCTTATAACATTTTACATTATAATTTCTATTTTGAAATTAATTGATACATGATGCCTCGACTGGGCTACTTTTGCACTAGACAACTGATCAATGAATAAACCAGGGCATATGGAGACGCATTATACACTAGTGATGTCACCAAGCTTCGCAACTGCATAAATTATCACAACCTGTACTCAAATATACTAAGTTAATTACTAAAATTTTTATATCTAGTGCAAATGATGGGATGTTTATACTCAAATTAATGGCTATCCTGCAAAAATTTCAGCAATGCAAGTTATATTTTGCTAAATCAAGTCAGTGACATTTTATAAGCGAAAAACTTAAAACTCCCTGCCTTTTATAATTCTTGAGTACACGTTAATCTCCCCTCCTGGGTGTTGACACCCTACCTTCCCTCCTCCTGCCAGCCAGCGGGGGCAGTTAGCAGTGATAACGATTAATGGGATGAATTTTGTTTTAGGCTTGAAGTTTTCTCTTTTAAAATGTCACAGACCTGACTTAAGAGAATATAACTTGCATAGTTGGAATCCTTGCAAGGTAGCGATTAATTTGGGTAAAAAAATTCATAGTTTGCACAAGAGAATTTTTTTTTAGTCCTTTAGCTTAGTACATGGAGTTCAAAATGAGTACTGTATAGATATGTAAATACCCAGATATGTGAACACGCCTGACGGCAAGACTCTGTTACCATTCATTGTACCATTTATTCACATGTCTGTATTACTACATATTATTATAGCAGGTCTGATATCTATGCTTATGTCTAATGCCTATGTTCACTTACTATGTCCCGATGTACTATGTCTGTACCGCGCTAGTCAAGTAACTAGAGGACCTCATTTATTGTCCTAGTAATGTCTAGCAACTCTCCTTGCCTAGCTAGCTAACTTCCCTCAGATAGGCTTCGGCCTGGCTACGACACGGAGTCCTTTTTGCTTGTCCCTGTTTTTCTGTACCTGTCGGTTATCCTGCCAAGTCTTGTACTACTTATTGAATATATCTACTGCTCGTGCTATTGGAGTTTGAAGAACCTTGTCTAGGATATACATCCCACCACAAGTACGACAGTAATATGGCTTTTTCACAGGGAAAAGTCTGTATAACTAGCCCCAGTGGTCAGGATATTATGGTATCGAATGTTATGAAGTATTTCAAATAAAGAGTCCACAAAACATGTAGCTATGCTTTTTGAGTCCCCCATCTGAGGAGTCCGTTTTCTCGTTGCTTCAGGACGCCTGAGTCCTCCGTTTTCTCTCAATCTTAGAGTGCACCCAAGACTTCGTTATTCCTTAGTAATGACACATAATTTGAAATTGCAACTGGGGTTGTAATTGTTGAGGCAACTTAGATATGTCTGATTACAGCAAATGTGTTATTGTCAATTTGTAGGTGAAAGATTTTATCCTCAATAGATGTAGGTGAAGCAAGGGGGGTAACAATACACCTGGAGGCAACTGCGTGATAACGAAATTCTCAGCTTGAAAAATGCGCTATAACAGCAGGTGTGCAGATTTTGATGGAGGTGTGATAACGAAAATCGCGATAACCAAGTGCGCTGTAACCAAGGGATGACTTTACTTTTATTTGACTGCCCATATCATATAGATTTTTAGTTTTTTTAATAGGTTCATTTAACCAAACTTTTAGATAAACTATTCAGGATTATTTGGGTAAAAAAAAATGGTGTTTCTAATTATAAGTGATTTTATTGATTCTGGTATCAACATTTCTTATATTTTTTCATAAAAAATTGAGTCCCCCCCCATCATTATATCTTGTTGAAATATTTTGTTTAAGGATTTTTGTATTGGAACAATCTTGTAGATAATTTATTCAGGATCATCATGGTATCAAATTCATCTCTAACACATTAGAACAGATTCTGTGAATAAAAGTTTATGCACTTTTTTGCTGGCCGTAAAAATTTTCACTCTTGCCCACCATCTAAATATAATGGGAGAGTGTTTGTCCATGCAAGATGAGATGCTTAGTTTCGACTCTCTTAGAATCTAGGAAAACTTTCCCTAGCACCCAGAAACATTCTGGGGATGTGGGCCAGTGTCTGTCTGTGCAAGATTTGTAGTTTAAACTCTTGGAACTTTTTCCAATACCCAGAAAATTTTCAGGGGTGTGGGATTTTTCCGGGTTTGAGAAAGTTGTCTCGTTACCCCAAAATCTCTCATCCCCAGAAGAGCTCTGCACCAATTGTATATAATCTTGTTTTCTTTCAATGAAAAATTTGCTGCCCACAGTTTAGCTCCCCATGAAGAAGTGGCCAAGTCCCTGGGTCTGTGTACACAGCGAGAGAGAGGTTTTCACCTGGACCTGGAAGACTACCTCCAGGGTACACTTGGTATCAGCCACGAACTCTCAAGGCTTGCCATTAATTCAGTTAGTGCAGGTGAGAATTCTCTTCTGTATTTATTTATCACTTCACTAAGGTCATTGGAAGATCATTTCAATATGTATCTTATCATTGTGTCTGATGTATAACTTTTTTTCTTTCTGAGTTACCATCCACATCTTAAGCTTGGCCAAACCTGAAACAAAGCAAGTTTAAGCCTAATCTAAATGTAATGTAACTAAACCAAATGATAGCTTAATCTATTATCAACTTAAACTCAGTTTAACCAAAACTTGCCTAACCAAATCTTAATTTATCCACTACTGTAGTTAATATATACCCCTGTACTCAGCTTGCCCAAAACATGAATTAATTTATACCTGTCCCTAAACCTTTCCTAACATTACTATCTTGCACGCATTTCCATTCTTCATGCATTTATCTGCCTTTACAATATTACACTTCTCCTTGCCCACACAAACCTAACTCAATCCTTACTGCCTTCTCCTAGGTTCCCGCTTACCCACCTTCCTTAACCCTATGAGGACAGTGATGGCAACTTGTGCTCATTTCCCACTGGATGGGGGAATATTGAAAAATAAAAATTGAATCATAAAAAACAATTGCATCTTACCATAACCTCCTGATTTATAGTATCATCAAAGTCCAAATGTCAAGTTGAAAAAATAAAGAATCACTCCAATCCCATGTAGGAGGCTCATGAGTGGAGACATGGCTTATGGAAGCTACCCCAGTATTATCAGCATATTCCTCACCCCCATCACTCAGATTGTCCTTAGATTCAGTAGTCAAACCATGAGGAAAGTCACTATCTTCATATACTGTACAGTATATCACTGTCACTTTACATGGGAGGGTCATTCTTGTGTTCCAGAACTATATATAATGGCATAAATATCCTCCTGTGTGGGAATTACAAGTGAGAGTATGTGGTACATCTTGACATGGCCATGGTCCATCCATAACTAATGGGTAAGAGGCCTTCATCAGTAATGCAGGTTGGGAACTACATTCCAGCCAAATCCCACTCCTTCAGTAAACCCATGATAACTTGGAATATATGGGGCTCTTAACCATTCTGAGTTATCAAATTTTCAGAGTTATCAAGACTTCTTGGTCTCAGGAACAGAACCTATTTTCCCCCATAAGTTATTAATGTAATGTATCGATATACGATTGATCACCCTACAATGGTTTTCCATGACCCTAACCCCATCGTATAATGGTCAACACCTGTATACAGGTAGAGTATTCATAGTTTTTCATAACATATGCTTAGATGAAATGCAGGGATGCGCCGTTTAGCGATGGGGATGCATTCCTAAAAGACAGATTGCTAGGTGATTTGATCACTGAGCGAACAGAAACAAGAAATAATATCTTAAACAAGGCATGACGAGGAATAATATTCATGGAGATGGCACATAATTGTGTAGCGGTGTCGCCTGGCCAACTCGCCACCCAGTAGCACTGAGGCTGAGCTGTGAGATATGTTATTCTTCAACTCATAATTTTGGTTAGATATACGTAATTTTCTTCATTTTCTTGTACTCTGTTACATGCACACACGTTCGTTCAAAAGCATAAAGGGAATACAGTAAACAGTTCTTACCTGGTCCGCCAACAAGAGCGGAGGGGGAGGGAGGAGCAATCACTTTAGTACACAATATCACAATCGTACAGGATAATGAACAGTCTGTACAGTACTCAATAATACGCCAAAGTCACAACGATAACAGTGATGCACAGCAATAGGACCGATGCTCAGCAATATTAAAGCACAGATCATACTGTTCAAGGCAGGGTAAACAGGTCTGTAGTAATGGCCTGGGTTCGTAGATGGTTCGCCGGTAACATAATACTACAATATGTGATTTTATATAAAAAACCTAGATATGTATAAGGTACTCCTCTGGTTACCAAAAAATTAATTTCTAATTTTTGCTGGAAAGGCTAGATAATGATTTCTAAAATTATTTAAAAAATTCATGTGGGTTGATTCATAGGTAGTAACTTATATAGCAGCTCCATTTCCAAGTGGTTTAGTGTTGGCTTTGAAAATACCAGGGGCGGGTCCAGAAATATAAAAAGGGGGGGATTCACAGGGCCGGATTCAGGAGTGGGCAAAGTGGGCAGCTGCCCAGGGGCTTCCATAATCTGGGGGCCTCCATATACAGTATTACAATATTTTATTTATTTGTTTATTCATTTGGATAATTTTTATTTTCATTCTTTAAAATTCATGTTTATCTATTCCATCACGTAAAACTATGTTCATCACGAAGCGTGATAGAAATTAGGCTAGCTACTCCTTGAAATTCATGAATACAGTACAGGTTGACAATCCCTTATCCGAAATGCCTCTGGCATTTCGGATTTCGGAATTTTTCGGTTTTCAGATTTTTTTTTTTTTTTTTAATGTGTATTAGCCCACCCAGGCATAGATCACTGACCCACATCAGGGCCTGGGGGGCGAAAATATAATAAAAAGTATAATAATAATAATAATAATTCATAGGTCTAGGTCGTGTTTCTCACTTTTGATCTTTTTTTCATTCTTGTATTTCTTTATTATTATTATTTTATTATTACAGTATTATTGTTATTATTATTATTATTATTATTATTATTATTATTATTATTAATTTTATTATATTTTATTATTATTATTATTATTGTTATCATTATTTTATTTTGGTGTATTTTTATTAAAATTTTTATTTACTATGAATAATTATTATTATTATAATTATTATTATTATTACATTTTTGCCACCCAGGCCCCGATGTGGGTCAGTGATCTATGCCTGGGTGGGCTAATCCCTGTTTTAAAAAAAAAAAAAAAAAAAAAAAAATCGGTTTTCAGAGCTTTTCGGTTTTCGGAATTTCGGATAAAGGGTTGTCAACCCTGTACCTGGTTTTCCTATGACCGTGTATCAGGGCTGGTCGACTTGAAACCACATGAATGACTCCAGTCATGTCTCACTTTTGTGTGTGTGTGTGTGTGTTGGGAATTTGTACACTATCAATAAATATACAGTTAATTAAAAATTTCTCAATGTTATAATTTCCTCAATATAACTGCATATGGCTTCAAAATTCTCCAAAGAAGTGTTCAAATTTCAAAATTTTCCCGGGGGGCTTATAGCGCCCCCCGGAATTCCCATATGTTTAGACTCGCTTCACTCGCCACCCCACCCTCTTGGGTAGTAATAATGAGGGGAGCCTCCACAAAGAGGCTGCCCATGGGCCTCCACAGGTCTAAATCCGGCACTGGGGATTCAATAAATTTTGGGTACGGGAACATGGCGAGCGCAGCGCTTGGTGTTAGGAGATATTCTGATGTCAATAGTAATTACTTTTTACAATACAAAAATGCCTGAGTACAATACTGCATTAAAGAAAAAGTATTAGAATTTTCTGATGAAAAGGGGGTCTGATTTCAGGATGATCCGCCCTTGAATAGTATACTGTACTGGGCAATGTTGCCACAATCTCAGCATTTATTTTACACCACAGAATTTTGTTATTTCCATCTTATTTTAATATTAGACTCATGATTATATAATACTGGATAGGAATGTTAATAGAAAATGGAAATAATTTTTTTTTTACTTACATGTAGAAATTCTACATGGAATGTGATTAACAGAGGCCTCTGCTCCACAACAAACATGCCATGGTGAGCTTCAGATATCACTTACCTAAAATAGCTAACATTTACATAATTTTACACTTATTTTACTATTTATTGTATGCAAATATGTAGATATTATTAACTGAGCAAATTTTTAGGAGTTGGCACTTGACATGTGCTACCGGGTAAGGCGGTGATGGTGATAGAGGCAGACGGGGCTCCCTCTCTCCCTCCCTCCTGTGCCTTGCCTCTATGTTATGAATCCTCCCCTACATTTATGTTACCGCCCTTCATGTTCTCATCACGCCCACACCTGCCCATATACACCCACAATGCCTACCCATTAGAGATGCCCACTTGGAACACAGAATCCCCATTTTTTCGATTTCCATCGTGAATTTTTCCCAGTGAGATCGCTAAATCGAACAATTGCAGATCGTTAAATAACCACCGGTGTTAGAAATTTTAAATCACAAAACCGAATTATCGCGAAGTGAACGATCACTTAACGGTGCATCCCTATATTATGGAACTTAACTTATGTAGGCTCAGTGCAGTATACAATAAACCCTCGATAACTCGGCACATATGGGGCTTTGGCCTTGCCGAGTTATCCCAAATTCTGACTTATCGAGGCACTTCCTCCTCCTATAAAACACAACAATAAAAAATTATTGACCCATATATGTGTACATGTAATTACTAAATGTAAAAAGGTAACACTTACCAGTGCTGCAGGTGAAGAATGAAGCATCATAGTAGGTGACACAGAGGTATGGTAGGTGACACAGAGGTATGGTAGGTGACACAGGTATGGTAGGTGACACAGAGGCATGGTAGGTGATGCAGAGGTATGGTAGGTGACAGGTATGGTAGGTGACACAGAGGCATGGTAGGTGACACAGAGACATGGTAGGTGACACAGAGACATGGTAGGTGACAGAGAGGCATGGTAGGTGACAGAGAGGCATGGTAGGTGACAGAGAGGCATGGTAGGTGACACAGAGGCATGGTAGGTGACACAGAGGCATGGAAGATGACACAGAGGTATGGTAGGTGACACAGAGGCATGGAAGGTAACACAGAGGTATGGTAGGTGACATAGAGGCATGGTAGGTGACCCAGCGGTATGGTAGGTGACACAGAGGCATGGTAGGTGACACAGAGGTATGGTAGGTGACACAGAAGCATGGTAGGTGACACAGAAGCATGGTAGGTGACACAGAGGTATGGTAGGTGACACAGAGGTATGGTAGGTGACACAGAGGTATGGTAGGTGACACAGAGGTATGGTAGGTGACACAGAGGTATGGTAGGTGACACAGAGGTATGGTAGGTGACACAGAGGCATGGTAGGTGACACAGAGGTATGGTAGGTGAGACAGAGGCATGGTAGGTG